GTGCATGTAGAAATTTTTGAAATGGTGTATCTTTGGCTATGTGTATTTTCACCAAAAAAAAAGTCAAGAAGGGAGAGGGTTAATATGTTGTGGGGTTGTTAAGCAATGTCATAAATAAAACAATATGTGTGCTACTATTTCATGAGAAACTATTTGTTCTGTAAGCCTTCCCCTGAAGTACAATAAAAAAACGAAAAACAAAAAACAAAACAAAAAAACAAACCCACTGCTGTGGAGTCAATTCCAACTCATAGTGACCCCACAGTGTTTCCAAGGCTGTAAATCTTCATGGAAGCAGACTGCCACATCTTTCTCCAGCAGAGCTGCTGTTGGTGTTGAACCACCGACCTTTTGGTTAGCAGTCAAGCACTTTAACCATTGTGCCACCAGGGCTCCTTTTACAGTTGTCTCCAAAGCCCTGTATAATCTGACCCTGCTCCTCACCCTTCAACTTCATTGCCTACCACTCTCCCCCTGTGGGTCACCCCCCTCCAGTCACACTGGCACCCTTGCTAATTCCTTGAACACGTGAAGCATGATCCTCTCTCAGGGTCTCTGCACCTGCTTCTCTGTTTTCTGGAATGTTCTTCCCCAGACATCTCCAGCATTTGCTAGCTTACTTCCTTCTCCCTCCCCCTTATGTAAAAGAGAATCCCACTACCTCCCTTATCCTGCTTTATTTTTCTCTTTATCACTTATCACTTTCAACCATGATAACTTTAAGGGCTTGAAAGAGAAAATCAGTAACAAATCAGCCTCCTGGAATGCGGAGAGGAGAGGGATGTCGAAGGGGAAAGGGGTGTTGCCTTGACGTTGGAGTCTGGAGAGGAAGCAGAGGACCAGGACTGAGAGTTTGGACAGAGGAGCCTGTCTTCCTTAGAAGCACCAGCAGGCGGCACCGCCTGCAGGAGCTCCTCCATCAGCCCAGAGTGGGGAAGGAACCAAAGGTCTGTCTAGGGTAATCCCACAGATTTGCTGGGGCCACTGCTGAATGTGGGAGGGGGAGCATCCCCAAGAGTCCAGCGCAGTCAGGCTTTGGACTCTTTGGTTCCTCTGGGTGGTGGCCTCCGGTGCTGCAACAGAAGGCGTGAGAGGCAGAGGGTGGGCAGTGCAGCTGAGCTCACCGCTGCGGGCGCATCCATCCCTCCCGGGCCTATAATTTGGGTTCCCCAGGCCTGGCCGCCCCTATCAGCAGTTCAGCGGCAGATGAGTCACCCAGGACCCTGAGCCAAGGCAAACACGGGGGGAGGAGGAAGAGGAGGTTCCCGAGGCTGCGAGGCTGTGCCTGGCTTTAACCACCGCCTCAGTTTCCTGATACCCCAACCTCCAGGGGCCCTCACTCTTTTATTTGACCTCCGCCCTACAGGGCCCCAGTGTTCTTCCCAGATTGCTGTCTCTATACTCTCCATATCCACGAAGGGAAGGAAGGGCAGCCTTTGACTCCTCTCTTGGAGAGGAAAAGGGACCAGCTCGCTTTGGCTCCCTTCTCTCATTGATGACAGCCCCCCACTTCCCTCCTCATATCATAGCCCCAAGGTCTCCCTGGTTCCCGCCCCTCCCCTTTCCTGGAGCTGGCTGCGTGCTTGGGGTATTAGGCAATGGGTGTGCACCCGAAGCCCTCTCCAGGCCCCGCCTGCCCCACCGCCCTCCAGCCGCCTGCGGGTCAGCACTCAGGCCAGCCGGTCAGGCTGAGGCCACTGTGGGCCAGCTCAGGCCACCCAGTTTGACTGCCTGTGCCCTCCTGTCCCAGAGTTGGGCTCTAGCAGAGAGAGGGAGCAGGAATATGGGCCCTTGGATTCTGAATAGGCCTGCTTTGGGAGCCTGGGAATCACTGAGAAGTTGGGACGTAAGGGTAGTAGTTCTGACCTCAGCCCCTCCTGGGCACCTGACTCTGTACTGGAGCCAGACCAGGGTAGAATCAGAAGGCAAAAAGCGATATGACACCTGAGGGAGACCCAGAGATACTTGGTGAAAGACAAATGTCCACAAGTTCCCCATGGAGACAGGGGGCCTAGGAAACCTCATTCTACCCCCTCCAGGAGCCTCACTAGAGTTCCAGGCTGAAGTTCAAGAAGAAGAATTAGGACACTGGTGGGGGTCACTGAATCCAGGTGTAAGGATTAAAGCTACCTAGATAGGGCTTGCAGACTCTGGTGGCCTCAGAAGCCACACAGGGTTTGGTGCTTGGCCCTTAAAAGGGGAGGCAGGGCAGGATCTCTAGGGTTACCAGAGGTGGGGACGCAGGGAAGAGCAACCCTTCCATGCTGGTCACTGTTGTTCAGTATCAGGGACTGTAGGACTTTTCCCCTCCCCAGCCTACTCAGTGCCTGGCCCATATAGGTGGTCAATAAGTATCCCAAGGGAAGTCACTGGTCTCCTCTTTCAGACCCTCTGCTCCCTGGACTGCAAGTGCTCCCTGCAGCAAGGGGGAGGACCCGCAGCAGCACAGACTGGAGGCTGAGCCTGGTGCCCAGCAGAGCTGCCAGGCCACCGCCAAGGAAGAGGTGACTGTGGCTGTGGGTATCAGCCCAGTGGCTCTGCTTCCCTGGGGGCTGGTCTCTGAGTCAACCCGCCAGCCTCTGGTCGCCGGGCTAGCCGTGCCTTGGGCTGTGGTCTGGCAGGGGCGGGGTTGGGGTGGCGGGGCGACTGGGAAGCCTCGGGCCCCTCTCTGGCAAAAATAGCCCGAAGTGGTTAGAGCTCGGAGGGTGAGTCAGGCTGCAGCGTGGTGGCGCCTAACCCCTTCACTGCCGCCGGAGCTCCTTAAGGCTGTTTGGCACTGTCTGTGCCCCTGAGAAGAAGCCCTGGTGGGGCAGTGGTTAAGCGCTGGGCTCCCGATCGAAAAGTGGGCTGTTCGAACCCACCAGCCGCTCCACGAGGGAGAGATGTGGCAGTCTGCTTCCATAAAGATTGCAGCCTTGGAAACCCTTTGGGGCATTTCTACCCTGTCCTGTAGGGTCGCTGTGAGTCAAAATCGACTCGACTGCAATGGGTTTTTTTGGGGGGTTTTGTGCCCCGAGGGCAAGCCTTTTCCCGACTGCCCTCTGCTGGACTCAGTTTGGGAGCTGGAGGCCTCCTTCACCCCATATGAGGCAAATCTGCGAGTCTGGAGTAGAAAGCCGGGTCACCCTAAGTGCAAACCGGGGATCCCTGGAAGGGTAGAGGACATCAGCTGGCAAGGATGCCTGCAAGCCGACGGATACTAGGGGCTGGCTGAAGACATTTGGGGCTACCCAAGCCTCTGCTAGGGCCAAACTCATGCCAAGGCTGACCCCTCCCAAGGGGCAGGCGCAGGGCCCAGAGGTGGGCTGGAGCCCAGCGGATCAGACGCGCCTCTCCTGCCTGCTCCCAGTGCCCTGCGTGCTCTCAAGCTGTGGAATCCAGTTGAGACTACCCAACTCCCGAAGCTGGTTCTCAGCTCCGTCCTCATCTTGCCAAAGGTGCCCTCCAGCCACCTGTTCTCGGTGGGGAAACTGAGGCAAAGAGAAACGGTGAAAGACTTGGCCACTTGGGCCGTGTATCCCGGTGCCCTAGTGTGGGTCACTGTAGCTTCTTTGCAGCCTCGGCGACTCCAGAGCAGGTGAGGGGAACTCTGGCCACCTCCCCCTTCAGAGGGGCCAAGCCTGAACCCGGCGTCGGGGGACAGGGTGTGTGTGTGTGTATGTGCTGGGAGGAGGGGGAGCCGTTCCCCGGTCAGGGCGGGGGGTGCGGGGGCGTGGAGTGGGGATGCCCCAGGCTCGGGCAGGGGCCGCAGCTCGTCAGCCGCGGCAGAGCCGCCCGTGAGCTCGGCACGATCAGAGCCAGAGCCCCCAGTTCTTTGCTGGTCCTTTCGCTAGCAACCTCGATCTCTCCCTCCTTTCTTCCTCGCGGCGGCCGCGGCGCTGAGGAAGCGGCGAAGAGGAGTGGCTCTGCCCTGGAAGAATGCGGCTCTGCCGAGGGGGCAGAACTCGACGCAATCTCCCCACGCTTTGAGCAGCCCGAGCCGAGCAGAGGCGATCCCACCGAGCGGGAGCGGACCCTGAACCAGAGCCGCTGGAGGTACTGGGGAGCCGGGAAAGCTGGGAGAGCAGGGACGCGCACCCGGGATGAGACAGGCACGCCGGCAGACAGACAAACATCCGCCCACAGGGGCACAGAGACGCAGAGACAGCAGAGATATTGCCAGAGCAAATAAAAAGGAGTGCCCCCAGATTTGGAGGGCTTTGAACGCGAGAGCAAAGGGGTGGGGACCGAAGCTGGAACCCTTGGGGGACCAGACAGGCGGCGGCGCTCGGAGGAGTGGAGCGTGCAGTTAGGAAAGGGGGAAGGGACAGGGAAGAGGACTCAGCGTGCGCCACGGTCCCCTTCGGGCGGGAACCACGTCCCACGTCCCGGTCCCCCTCTTTGCCGCACCTCTCCTCCTTCGTGCCTAGGAGGAGGGGGGAGAGTGGGTTGGGGAGACCATTCCTCGACCCTGCTCACGGAGCCCGCCAGCCCTCGACGGCACCTGGAGGCGACACCCCCTCCCCCGCCCACTACGAGTGGTGGGGAACCCCCTCCGGACCCCGCCCCTAGCCCTGTGGGGGCTCGAAGCTGGGTTGGGCTGGAGAAGTGATCTTGGGGCCCTCCGAAAGGGAGCAGTGGGAGAGGTGGTGGCGCGGGTGCTGCGCGACTATGTTTGCATGTGTATCTGTGTGCCGGGCGTTGTGTCTGCCTGGGAGGGGAGTCAAGGGCAATTAGTCCTCTTTTAGCCTTCTAGGACCCAAGGACTCAGCATCAAGGGGTGACCCTTATTGTGGTTCGTTTGGTTTGGGGAAGGGTGAGGAGAATCAGTGGGGTGGCACCAGTGGGTTAGAGGCCCGAAATAGGGCATCCTTCCCCTGCCCGGGCGAGCCACCCAATTCCGGAGCCTGTCAAGTCACCCTATCCTGCAGGCCCTGATCGATCTGCCCACCCGGGCCTCCGGGCCGGGCTTCGACATGCCGGAGGAGCCCCGGCCGCGGCCTCCGCCCTCGGGCCTCGCGGGCCTCCTGTTCCTTGCGCTGTGCAGTCGGTGAGCAGTACCCCCTGCCTCCCAGCCCACCGAAGAAGTCACGGGGCCCTGGGAGGAGAAAACCCGAGGGGGTGCAAGGCCTGGACCACAGACCCCGAGCCGCCCTCTCCCTCTCCAGGGCCCTCAGCAATGAGATTCTGGGCCTGAAGCTGCCCGGCGAGCCGCAGCTGACGGCCAACACCGTGTGCTTGACGCTGTCCGGCCTGAGCAAGAGGCAGCTGGGCCTGTGCCTGCGCAGCCCCGACGTGACCGCGTCCGCGCTGCAGGGGCTGCACATCGCGGTCCACGAGTGTCAGCACCAACTGCGCGACCAGCGCTGGAACTGCTCGGCCCTCGAGGGCGGCGGCCGCCTGCCGCACCACAGCGCCATCCTCAAGCGCGGTGAGCCGGGCCGGGCGGGTCTGCGCCGCCGGCGGAGCTGGGGTGGGGGGCAGGCCGAGGCGAGCGGAGGCGGGAAGGAACGGGTTCACCGCTCCTGGAGGGCCTCTCCCGGGAATTCCCCCCGGAGCAGCGCGTAGCCGGGTCTGGCCACACGTCTGTGCCCCTGCGCGCCTCACTTCCACCTGTGCGCTGCGGGCAAGGCAGCTGGGTCCGGCTCCCCTACCCAGGGCCCCCTTTCCTGCCTCCACCCAGCTCGACCTGGGTTGCACCTGTGCATAAGAGGTGCCCCAGCCCTAGAAGCTTCAAACGCCCCCCTATTCCTTCCCGTTTTTCTCCCCCTCCCTCTCTTCCAAACAAGCCTGGGCTGGTGTCCCCAGAGCCTCAGCGCGGGTGGGGGAGACGGCACCAGCTGTTTAAGAGTTAAACTTGCTCCCCTAATTGCCGGGGTTCCCAAGAGCTGAAGCTGGGAACAAAGACCCCGATGGCTTTGAAGCTGGGGAGCAGCCCCCTCCTCTGTGCTGTGGGGGTCCCAGGTGGAGCTCACCTGAGCAGGTGAGGAAGGGTTTGAGGGTCACTGTTGGCCCGGTCTGGGAGGCATGCTGTCTCTCCCTGGAGGTGGAAAGATCCATCTGGATCTGGCTGGGCCCAGGGATGGGGGCAGTGCTTTGGGGACTATGGGGTTAACAGGCAACTGCCATTTGCAGGGGAATTCCCAAGACGTGTGCAAACAGCTTCACCCCTGGAGTGCTGGGGTTGGGGGGATCAAGGAGGCTGGGCCAGGAACCCTGCATCCTGGGGTGGGAGAGGCCTGGCCCCTAAGGAGATGCTGTCTCTCATCTTCCTGGGGCTCCAGAGGGCCTGTGCCTTAAACGCAGTGAGGGACTCCCTCTTCCTCCACAGTCCTGGTGTGGTGGAAGGCTTTGACGCCCAAATGTGGAGCAGGTTTATCTAAGCCTGGGAAAGCCTGGTCATCTTGAGCTTCTGTGGTCCCCAACTCATAACAAAGAGGCCAACTTTTTAAGAGGGCCTCCGGGAAAATCACTCCCATCTCTCCCCGCTCTCAGTGTTTTATAGGGTAATAGTAGGTTAGAGTAAACATAAAGGGCAGTCTTGATGGACAAATATAAAACTAGAACCTGGGAAGGGCAGCTCCGGTGCTTCGGGGGGTGTTGGGATGGTAGAGGGTAGGTTGGTTAAAAGATTGATTAAAATGACCCCGAAGCCAAAAAAAGAGTCCCAAAGGCCTATGTTCGCACCCCACCCAAGCTCCCTGCAGTGCTGGAAAATTTCTAAGGCTTTAGATGTAGAACTCAGGAACTCCCTCTTAGTCATCTCCCAACCCTAGGGGTCTCTCCTTCTGGGCTAGCTCTTGCATCCATACCTGAAAATCCCAGACTAACAGAATGAGAATGGGCATCAGAGATCACCTTGCCCCCTCTTTTCCCTTTATAAATGAAGAAACTGAGGCCCTGTGCTCTCTGTTCCCTTCCCTCTCTGGTTTCTCCCAAATTTCTCAGCGGGTAAACGGTAGGGTCAGGATTCAGTTAGGAATTTCTAGAATTGGAGGGTGGCTGTTTATTCCCCCTTCCTCCTCAGCCACTTGTCAACCTTACCCCCAACATTACACCTTTCTCATCCCCAGGTTTCCGTGAGAGTGCCTTTTCTTTCTCCATGCTGGCTGCAGGTGTCATGCATGCTGTAGCCACGGCCTGCAGCCTGGGCAAGCTGGTAAGCTGCGGCTGCGGCTGGAAGGGCAGCGGTGAGCAGGATCGGCTGAGGGCCAAACTGCTGCAGCTGCAGGCACTGTCTCAGGGCAAGAGCTTCCCTCACTCTCTGCCCAGCCCTGGTCATGGCTTAGGCTCCAGCCCTGGCCCCCAGGACACGTGGGAATGGGGTGGCTGTAACCATGACATGGACTTTGGAGAGAAGTTCTCTCGGGATTTCCTGGATTCCAGAGAAACTCCCCGGGACATCCAGGCACGAATGCAGATCCACAACAACAGAGTGGGGCGCCAGGTATGTGTGTCCCTAGCCTTCGAGGCCTGGCTAGAGTTTGAGAGGCCCAGCAGAGTAATAGGATGAGGTATGGCGGGTGATTGCCACTCACCACCTGGGTGGCCTCAAACAAGTCACCTAACCTCAGTTTTGCATCTGTAAGAAGAGTCTAATGATAGCTACCTTACAATATCAGTAAGACGGAGCTGGAGAGTCGTGAGGCAGCAGTGGTGGCTCAGTGGTAGAATTCTCACTTTCCATACAGGTTTGGTTCCTGGCAAATGCACCTTACATGCAGCCATCACCTGTATGTCGGTAGAGGCTGTCTGTCCGTGTGTTGCTATGATGCCGAACAGGTTTCAGCAGAGCAAGACAGACTAGGAAGAAAGGCCTGGTGATCTACTTTTAAAAAATTAGTCATTGAAAATACTATGGATCACAGTGGTCTGCTCCTGTTGTGCATGGGGTTCCCATGAGTCCGGGGCTGTTGGCTAATAACAACAGCAAGTAGCACACCCACCATAAAGCCTAGTTCTTGGCAGATGCTCATGAAATGGTAGCTATAATTACAGTTACCTTCCCTACAGTGTTTAAGGAGGCCTGGTGGTGCAGTGGTTAAAGCAATCGGCTACTAACCGAAAGGTTGGTGGTTCAAAACCACCAGGGGCTCTGCGGGAGAAAGATGTGGCAGTTTGCTTCCGTAGAGATTTATAGCCTTGGAAACCCTATGGGGTCGCTGAGTCGGAGTTGACTCAATGGCAGTGGGTTTGGTTTGGTTTTGTACCTATAGTATTTAGGCGTGGTCTGGCTCAGACTCCCCATTTTAGCAGAGCTCAGTCTGGAAAGAGCACTGGATTGGGAGTCAGGACAACTGGAACTGAGTCCTGCTCTTAATGAATGAAGATGGGCAAGTCACATGCTCTGGCTTTAGTTCTCCAACCATAAAATGAGGGAGTTGGGCTACTAGCTAACCTCAGACTGCCCTTCATGGTCATGCTTGCCTCCGTTTGTCTCTCCCTGTGCTGTTTCCTTCCCTCTCCTGTGCCTCTATGCTGTGTCCATTTGCTGCCATCCCCTCCGCCTCTGCCCCCTCTGATGCTCTAGGTGGTAACTGAAAACCTGAAGCAGAAATGCAAGTGCCATGGCACATCAGGCAGCTGCCAGTTCAAGACGTGCTGGAGGGCTGCCCCAGAGTTCCGGGCAGTGGGGACAGCGCTGAGGGAGCGGCTGGACCGGGCCATCTTCATCGATACCCACAACCGAAACTCAGGAGCCTTCCAACCCCGCTTGCGTCCTCGTCGCCTCTCAGGAGAGCTGGTCTACTTTGAGAAGTCTCCTGACTTCTGTGAACGAGACCCCACCGTGGGCTCCCCAGGCACACGGGGCCGGGCTTGCAACAAGACCAGCCGCCTGCTGGATGGCTGTGGCAGCCTGTGCTGTGGCCGTGGGCACAACGTGCTCCGGCAGACACGAGTTGAGCGCTGCCACTGCCGCTTCCACTGGTGCTGCTATGTGCTTTGTGATGAGTGCAAGGTCACAGAGTGGGTAAACGTGTGCAAGTGAGGGCCAGTCTCCCCATGGGAGCGTGTGGGTGTGGCACCTTTGCAGCCCTTTGCTCTGATTTCTGTCCAGGGTTAATCTTGGTCCCTGGAAGCTCCAAGTATCTCCCCGAAAACAATTTTGGGGATGGTGGGGGCCAGATGGAGTCTGTGATGTACATCCCCCTCCCCTTCAGTTGGAGGGCCTAGGGGGGAGCTGTCACCCCTCTTCTGCTCCTTAAATACCTGAATGGACTAAGATGAAATGCACTGTACTGCCCCCCAACTCCAGGGCCCCTTTAGCCCTGATTCATATTCCTTTTGGCTGGGGAGTCCCTATAGTTTGACCACTCTTCTTCCTTGAGGGATAACCCCAGGCATTGTGTGGAGCCATAAGATCTGTATCCAGAAAGAGACCACTCACTCCTACTTGCTGTTCCAAAACTCCTCTACTGTAGCCTGGGCCCCCTCTTGTGGGGTAATGGGAGACAGCAGTAGAAAGGCTTTTCTTGGCAAAGGGACAGTGTGCTGGGAGGTGCTCTCCCCTGAGTCCTCAGAGAGTTGTCTGTCCAGGTCTTAGTGAAGCTGTCTCCCTTCATTCAGATGTTAAAGGGGAATCCTCCAAAGGAAGGGTTTTACCTGAAAATTCTCTGAGCCTCTTTTTCCTTCTTCATCAGGAGGGATGGGAATGGATAATTTATTGTACTGAGACTTGTTCTTGGTTCCCATTTGTAACTAAAATAAATTAAGTTACTGGACAAGTGGAGGCAGATGGTGATATTTCTGCCCACACTTGGGATCCCAGTTCATGCTTCTTTTCCAGGTAAATTCTTCTCCTACCCTTGTACACTCAATAGCTTTATGTATATCCTGCCTGGTCCCACAAAGAATTTCAAATGATCTCAGGTGACTTAGTTGGCAACTTTTAGTATGGAAAACCAGAGGGGACTTCTAGGTAGGAGGGGCTGGACATTCAAACCTAGACCCTATTTAAACTCTATAGGCCTCAACTCTAGAGTTCACCTTAGTCATTGCCCTAGAACAAGGCTTGGCACATTTTTTTCTGTAAAAGGCTAGATGGTTAATATTTTTAGGCTTGTGGGCTTTGTCACAAGTACTCATCTGCTATTATAGACCAAAAGCATATAGCATACATAAATGAATGGGCATGGCTGTGTCCAAATAAACTTAATTCACAGAAACAGGCTGCAGGGCTAGATTTGGCCCTCTGGCTGTAGTTTGTTGATCTCTGCCCTAGACCATGAAGTCACCTCTGTTCTGGAGTTTTCCAGTCCTGAACGCATCTCAACATTGAACTTGGACCTAAAAGAGCAGGTGCTTTTCTCTCTGGCTCCAAACCAGAGAATTTGGGAGGTAGGATGCAAGACTAATGGGAGACATATAAAAGGGATTCCTATGCTCAAAATAGGAATTTTTTGTTCTGGAAACCAGCATGCTCTCCCACTGAATTATTTGCCTACATGTTTTGTCCTTCCTTACTGAGGGCTCTTCTGCATTTAATCTTAGTAAAATAATTTCTTTATCTTTTAAGAGATAATCATAACTTCAGAGAACAGAACTTTTTAAAATTCTTTTTATTCGTAGCTTAATATTTTTGAAAACAAACTGTTATCTTTCCAAGATTCAATGCAGAAAAAGGATATGCTTGATGCATTCAGAACACTACAAATTACCGCAGACTTATGGGGCTGCCAGATGCTGACTCTAACAGGTCATCTTCTTGGCCAGGGAAGGTAGAAATGGTTCTCTTCTCTCCTCTGGCAATACATAGATCTGCTATTTAAATTACCCTCAAAATGAGGTCAAATCATGAGGTGCACCAGGGTAACTGGGAAATTTTGAGGAGCATTGGGTTAAGGCAGTACTTTATGTCCCGAATTTCCACTTGAGCATTGGGAATTCTCGGTTTGGAAATTGATGGAGACAGGAAGATACCCCATCCTTAGTTCAGGCACTGACTGAGCCTAATGTGTATATAACAGGAGAGAGGAGTGTAGCTAGAATGGGCATAGGGTATGACTAGAGAGTATTGATAAAGACTATGTAGAATGAGAATTTCTCACACTCAGGAAGAGTGAGGAGAATCTCCAATGGAGTCCCAGCAAGTATATTTCAGCTTTTTCCTATTTCCTTCCTCTGTATTCCCTTTGACTCTCTGTTTCAAGCTTTCCCTCTTCGTTTGTCAGACACACTCTGTGGCAAACTTAAGCCCCAAACCACAACCTTGAGAAATTCCAAATGGATTTTGTCAGCAAGGCCAACGCCCCCCACCCCCACCCCTCTCCCAGCACTCGCACTGGGCTCAGGCCCAGGCCTGGGGTCAGCGACAGGGGTGGGAGTGTGCAACTCGCAGAGTGGTGACTGCAATTTCAGCTCCAACAGCAGCCAGCGGGAGGAAGACTGATGAACTGTAAGTCAGGCCTCTTGGCCTTCTTTAGCTCTGGATGAGCTCTTCTCCCTTTAGCCTTAACCAAGTGGCTGGGAAGCTGCGGAGTGGCAGTGGCTGGCTAAATGCCAGCTGGGTGGCACCACTCTTATATGTGCTCCTCTTTGCTATGAGCGAAACCTCCACTGATGCTACAACAGACAATTTCCTTTCCAGACTCCAAAGGGGTGAAGGACAGAAGGGCTTGGAGATTCTTCAGTCCCATCAGTCCTGACTCAAATACTATGGTACTTGCTGCTAACCATATTAGGCTGTCACCATTTCCATCCTTCTGTCATACCTGGGACCCAAACTCAAGAGGATCTGAAGTCTTGAGCAGAAACATCAGCAGGTTCCACCTGCTTGTCAGAGTCCCACAAGGCATGTTGGTGGTGGACACTAGGCAAGGGGGGTTGTAAAGCATAATTTTGGTGGTCAGAGTGTGGGGGCATGACCGGGTCGGGTGCTACTATAAAATTCTAGGGAAAGAAATGGAAAGAGTGAAGCAGTCACATGGATGTTTCACAGGGCCTACACCAGGAGTCTGTAATAACACTGAGGAGTCTTCTGCCTTTAAAAACACAGAGCTCAGCAGGGCAAAGGCCCTTAATAGCGACAGCACAGGAAAGAGATAACTCTTTTCAGTATAAACAGGTTCTTTGTCATTCATCTCACCCCTCACCATCCTAAACTAGGGGTCTATTGGCTTCATATTCATGTTATTCTCCAGGATAAGATAAGAGAGAAAACCGACTGGGATAAGACAAAGGGACTGGTGAGTGCATATACCAGCGTGTCTTAGTCATCTAGTGCTGCCATAACAGAAATACCACAAGTGGATGGTTTTAATGAAGAGAAGTTTATTTCCTCACAGTCAAAGTAGGCTAAAAGTCCAAATTCAGGGTGTCAGCTCCAGGGGCAGGCTTTTTCTCTCTGTTG